CTTGGGGAGCAGGTATCAGGAGCCTCGCTGTCAGTGATGGGCCCTTTCTGGGGGCCGCCGCCTCTCCTAGAAACCTCATGGCGTTCACAGGAGAGAACCATTCCCATCTATCACCAGGGAGCTGGGCCTCAGAAAGACCAGCAAGGTCACCCAAGGTCACCAATAAGCCTRGGCCTCCTGGTCCCTGCTCCCTCACTGATCCTCCTCTGCCCACTACTGGGCAGTGACCAGGGCAGCCAAGAGAAGCAGGGCTCTCCTGGTGGTCAGAGTTCAAGACCCAGGACCATTGGCTCCCACCTCGTGGTGCCACCTGCCAGGTCTGCCTGTGCTCTCTTAGGTTCCCTGAGAAATCCTGATGTCCTGGTCTGTTTGTGAGGTCCACAGGGTCTTAATGAGTGAGCCTCGGAGGCCTTTGGGGCTTGTTGAAATGCAGATCCCAGGGCCCCCGATTGCTGAGTCTCACAGATGTCTCCTGTGGCTGGCTTTGCAAGGTGTCCAGAGGAGCCCAGGGCAGGTGAAGAGGGGGCACTGAGAACCTGGCCCTGCTGGGGGCCCTTCCCCAGGCGACTGTGCCATCTGGGGCAGTGGGGTGGCCCTGAGAACTACTGTGGGGCCTGGGGACTCTGGCAAAGTGGCTCTCAGGAAATGATCCTCAGAACCACCATGTTCAGCCACAGAAGAGGGGACGCTGCTGTTTCTGCGCCTCGCCCAGCATGCCATGTACAGAGGCAGTTCCTTCTGAGGTGCTCGCAGGCTTTGGTTTCTCATTGCTTAATTATTTTATCCATAAACCAGACAGATTGTGATAGAAATATCACATTTTCGCCTGAGTTGCCGAGAGACTTTCCTGCACTGTGCTCCTTAGGATTTCTAAGGACGCCCTTCCGTACCTGTCTGGAGCATTGATGTCCCTGGGACGGGTTGGGGCAGGACCAGAGGGAGGTAGAGCTCGTCCCTTATTATTGTAACGCCAGCTTTCCCGCCACACACACGCACTGGTAACAGGGTCCCTGATGAATTGGCTCAACTGAAATTCATTATCCCAGTGGATTCCTGTTTGTCCCTACATCATTCTCACTTGGGGCTTGGAGTGAGAAGGAGGACAGGCTGCAGCACTGATGCTTCGCTTAGTGTCACAGAGTGATGGGTGCCAACAGGCTTGGAGGACAATGGGTAAACGCTTAGCTCGGCGTAAGACGCTTGCCTGGCATGTGTGAGGACCTGGATTTCATCTCCAGCACAGAAAAGGAAAAACAAACAAAACTTTTAAGACTAATGAAAGTTTGTTGTAAAAAAATACAAGTTAGGAAAAAAACCTCCTCAAGACCCGGGAGTCCCTCCGCCCGATGTTTGAATTCTGTGTTTCCTGCTGCTGGTGCATGGTGGCAGGTGGGGGTCTTTGTTAAGGAGCCCTTCTGGTGGCTGAGCACTTGTCGCTGGGCTTTCTTAGGCATGGAACAGGCACTGCACTGCGAGGGGTTCTGTGGCCAGGACAGTCCAACAGGGCCTTGGTGGGCTTTCCTTCRACATCAGATGTCTTGGTCACCAGATCAGGTGGAGCATCTCCCTCTAACGGAGAACATTGCCCCCAGCGTTTGGCGACTGGGCCATCCCTAGGTGTCCCCACCCCCTGTCCTCAGGCCGGGTCCCTGTGGGCTCCGTGCACCGGACACCTCTTTGTTTTCTCTGACTGCCGTCAACCTTCTGACCCAAAGGGACAAGGAGGTCAAGACTTCACTCCTGATAAGGGTGGCGTATAAGGGTGGCGAAGTGTTCTGTAATCTTGGAGTTGTTCAAGAGCTTGTGTTTGAATTTAAATGACGAAGCGTAATTGGAAGGCWGGGGATGGAGTTCAGTGGTAGGTCACTGGCCTGGTGTACGTGAGGCTGTGGGTTCCATCTCCAGCACTGAAACCCAAAGTGCATTGGAAGTCATGCCACACTGATGGAAGAGCCAAGTACCTGGTCCTAAACTGCTGAGGAAAGCCCGTGCACCTCCAGGTGGCCTGTGGCCCAAGCACCACTGGCAGCTCTGGGCTTCCCTGTGAGTCAAAGGGCTCAAAGCAGGCAGTCAGAGGTCATCTGCTGTGCCTTACGATGGAATCTAGTCCAGTGGTACTTAGACCAGAGTCTGGGAGCCACTTTCTTCATATTTCATGCCATTGACGGGGCATGGAATGGCCTCTTCTGAAAACCAGGGCTGCTTCTGTCACTTTGTGGCCTGGCTGACCGGGGACACATGTGTGCAGACAGTGCATGCACGCACACACGCCCAGGTGTGTTCCTAAAGCACGTTTTGTGCAGCTGCACCTTGGGGAGTGAAGTAGGGCAGCCGGCCTCGTCCTCCACATGATGGAGTCTCCGGGGGCCAGGCCCTGCTTCCTTTGTCCTGGGACCCCCAATCCCTGTGGTGACCGGCCAGGAAGTGTCCCCACAGGAGCAGGGAGAGAAAGCATCTGGTATGTAGGGCTTTCCCCAGGTCTTTGGTTGGTTCTCCTTGAGCCTCACACCAGCATCCCACTCTGAGTGGGCCGTGACAGAGGCCAGGCAAGTTCTTGAAATAAGGGCATTTTAATGGAAGTTGAGGGCCTTGGCGGGGAACATGAAGTCAAGCATTTATTTTATTAATCCAGTTGCCACAAAGAAAAACATACTCTATTCAAGTGAGGGTAAATTTGCAACTAAAAGCTTGCCACACCATGTTCCAATATTTATATAATCATATGTCTTTGTTTAATGGAGCCCCACTTCATTTATAATGCATATTTAATATTTGTTGTGATAAATTTAATCTGGTGGTACATGCTTAAAAATCAGCAGTGCATTAATGAAGTGAGCTCTTTTAATTCACCCTTTATCCTCTTTGTTCTACTGTTAAGATTCATTTTTAAAATTGTATCTCAGGTTTTTTTTGGTTTGTTTTGTAAGAGGGATTGAACCCAGAGGTGCTCTACCACTGAACTATGTCCCCAACCCTTTTGAAAACTTAGAGTCAGGGTCTTGCTAAGTTGCCCAGGTTGGCCTCAAACTTGAGATCCTCCTGCCTCAGTCTCCTGTGGAGCCGGAATTGCCAGCCACATGGCCTAGCTGTAACTTAACGTGTATGTCAAATGGCGTAAAAATCTGAATCAGAGTCCCAAAGGTCACGATGAATGTCGTCTCCTTACTCTTGTTCCCCAGCCACCAGTTCCCTCACCTAAGTCGGCAACTGTTTGTGATTTTACCAGTGTCGATTCTCAGGCGTGTGTGTTGTGCGCACACACGCCGCACACTGTAACGCTGACTAGACTGTGTGGGTCTTGCTCTCACACCTAGTGGAGCCTGGAGATTGTGGGCTGAATCCACCTCAGTATGCCGAGGTCCTTACAGATCTCTGCCCCCCACCACCTGCTGGACTCAGTTGTCTTGTTTTCTTAATTAGTAGTCCATCTCCATCTCAGGAATACATCCAGGTTCACTTGACCGTTGTTGAGGTTTTTAACAGCAGAGCCACAGGGGGACTTTCTGAGCAGCTGGACGCTTGGTACATGCATTAGGAGAGTCCTTGTCATTACCTCTGTCTCCCTGCCCATCATCTGAGGCCGCCTTCTCSTTTCCCTGAGAGCAGTTGGTGACCRATGTTTAGTTACCATCCCCTGAGGTCAGGCCTGTGCTGTCATGGTCCACACTTCATGGTTCCCAGCTGATCCCTGGGCGTGCTCCGGTGGTGTGCGGCCCACCATGGAGTGGGTGTTAAAGAGCACAATTGAACTGCTCCCCCCTACCGTCAGCCCCCACCCTGTCTACTTCCATAGGGGGAGCGTGGACTGGACATCTTGAAGGCAGTGCTGGGATAAGTCCACCTCCCAGGCATCCCATCTCTCCAGMTTCCTTACAGACCTCTGCCCACCCACCACCTGCTGGACTCTGTGCCCCACAGCCCGTGCCTCTGCTGTTGAGCTCAGCCCTGCCAGCTCAGTGACCTTGAGAGTCACTAGATGCCCCTGGCAGCCTATTGTCTTCTCCATTGGCTCCTCCCACAAGCAGGGTCTCCCTTTGATGGGCGTCCTAGCCCTCAGCTCTGGGGGACAGTGGCAGTGGTGTGGGTGCCCTCCCACACCCCATGGACCATGGGTGCTGGCCTGCCTGGCCAAGCCAGCCTGGCCTTTCTCCATCCTTCTCCTAAGGGGACTGCAGGCCAGGCCTGCACGGCACCACCACCCCTTCTGACCACATCTGGTTGAAAGGGATGGCTTTTCTTGCCCTTGGGGCATTTTTTGAAGGACTTGACAACTTTTGGACAGTGCAGGGTGAGCAGATTCCAACATTAGGGAAAACGTTTGGAGAGGGCATTCCATTGAAAGAGATGGCCTGCATCCGGCTGCTGCCTCCCCGGCTCTGAGTGGCCAAGGGAGCCGCCACGTGGGTGCGACTGTGGGATCCTGCTTACCACGGGTCATGGCCAGTGGAGGATCATCTGTACTGGGCAGGCCAGGGGGCCCCCCAGTGGGGTCATCTCTGCTGGGCAGGTCAGGAGAGCTACCCTAGTGAGCTTCCTGGGTGGGGAGCAAGCACCACTTCAAAGAGCCCCCCGGGTCCAGGTCCCCTCCTCTCCCTGGCCAAGACTCTGGCACCCAGCAGAGTGCTCCAGACCTGAGTGTCGCCTGTCTGCAGCATCTAGGTTTCCACACCCACCATCCTCGAAGCTTTTGGGGTGGGATCTCAGAAAAGCGACTGTTTAGCAGAAAGACTGCAAACCACAGCTGCCTGAGGCTGGGTCTGTTGCAGAGACCAAGGCCCAGCTTGCAGGCCCCCAGAGCCGCTGGCTGGTRGGAGCGCCCACCGGTGCCTGGCTGAGCTGGGTAAACCTGGGCAAGCTGTGGCCCCCCTGGGGTGGGAGGGAGTAACTTGGAAGGCCGGTCTGCAGCCCCACGGTGTCCCTCTGGTGGAAGCTGGCATGCCGGGCACCGATGAGTGCTGGAGGGGGCCGCAGCCTGACTTTGTCTCTGTCTTCTCTTGCAGATGCCTTCGTGAACAGCCAGGAGTGGACGTTGAGTCGATCGGTGCCAGAGCTCAAAGTGGTGAGTGGCTCTTTCTGGCTTCAGTGGTTTATTTCCCAGGAGACCACGGGTGTGGGGGCCCTCGGGAGTGGGGCGTGAGCCCACCCAAGCTGTGCATGGGACGGGGACCAGTTGTGTGTTATGTAACCACTGTCCCCAGCACAGTGCCATTCCTACAGAGGACCTTCCAGAGACACCTGTCCAGGGAGTGACACAGGGTGGCAATGGTGTTTCTGGGAGTTTTTAAGACGACGACGTGCCCTCCCTAAGTGGGGAAGCTGGGATTTGATGTGGGCGTCGCTGCTCCTGCCCAGCACTGCCTGGAAGAACCTTCTGTGTCTGCCCTGACTGACAAGCAGCCTCTGCCCTGGGCGGCCTTTCAGGGACTGTACTGTGGCTCAGGAACCATGTGTGATGGCCTTGTTTAGGCTCGGTTCATTTTGGTTGAAGCAGCTGCGTGGCTGTGGTGGCCGTGCGACAGGTGGAAGTGGCTTCCTTTGGCCCTGTCCTGGTGATTGAGGGCGGTGTAGGTTCTTACCAGGCCACCAAGGGGGGGGTGCTTGCTACCAAAGAAGCCTGTGGTTTCTGGGGCCAGTGCTCGGGCTTGGAGACAGCGTCACTGAAGGGCAGGCAGGGCAGCTCCTTCCCCAAGGGTAGCTCCTCAGGCTAGTGTGGGCTCACTGCCAGGTCGCCACCTCTCACGGATGGGCCCACGTCAGCGGCCTGAGGAAGGGTCTAGCCCTGGAGCTGTGCATGGATGTGGGGACCCTGGCAGGGCTGCCAGCTCTTTGTCACGGGCCCTGGAAAAGAAGCCCCCTTTGTTCTGTGTGGCCACTGTGTGTATCCACAGTGCTGCATTGTTTCCTGCCCCTGTGCAGCACTCCAGGACAGGTGGCCTTTAGGTCAGCGCCCGAGGAGCCCTGCTTCTCAAGCGCAGCCACGAGGTGACGTAACAGCAGCCTCCAGGGAACTGTCGGTGCCAGTTTTGCAGGGATTCTGAGACCCCGTCAGAGAACACAGCTCAGGGTTTGCTGACTCTTCAAGAGCCGTGGTTCCATGCCTCGGGCTTTCTGGGGTTGTATGGTGGTCAGATCGTCCGTGACCAGTTGCCTTCGGTACAGTGGCTTGGTGCCAGGCGGCACAGGCCCGTGCCCCTGCCCGGGTGTGACAGGGACATCTGGCTGCAGAGGGCCTCAGTGGGCAGTCTGCCATTCCTGTTGACGTGTTTTCCTTGAACTCCCAATGGGGACCTTCGCTAAAGCCTCCATTTCCCTTTCAGCAAATCCACGTTTGGCAGGTAAGCGTGGGGCACTAGAGGAAGCAGTCAGAGGCCGCGTGCCTCTCTTCCTGCCGAGGCAGGGAGGTGGGAGCAGCGGGGTCAGGCCTGAGGGTCTGCTCCGCTGCCTGCCTCGCTCTCAGTTCTGCCGCCTGCGGGGCACCTTGCTGCTCCCCATGAAGCCTGCCAGTCCAGACGTGCTTGATCCCTCCTTCCCGTTGACATCAGGGGCTGGTGGCCACGGTGCCCCATGGACCTGCCAACGTCTCCTCCTTATTTTTTTCCATGGACAACTGTTAGTTTCCACTGGTGTTTCAAATTAAAATAATGCTCACAGCCGTCTGTGAGATGCCTGCAGCCGTGAGAACCAAGTGAGACCCCGTGCACCCCAGGGTTGATGGGCGGGGCCTTCCAGGGGTGCACGGGCCTTGCCATGAGCACACAGAGAACGGGGTGTTGCCGTGCAGAGAAGGCGCGGCCTGAATAGGGCCTGATCTCGGAGCATTTTCTTCCTCAGGGAAGACAAACTAATCTTAATTAAAAATTTAATTCTGTGGCATACTGGTTGGATTTTCTCAGTGTGAAGCTGACAAGCAGCAGGTGCCCTTGAGCAAAAGAATAATTAATAGGTAGATATTCTCAAATTACGGAGGCCCAAGGTAGAGGGGAGACTCACACTGACAGGAGGGGAGGCGGCCTGCGTGGGGTCTGCACAGGGGGCCTGGCTCCAAGCCCGCTGTGCAGCGTCTCCTTGGCACTGGCCACCCGGGTCACTGGGTCAGGCATGCGCTCAGCTGCCCAGCCAGTGCTGATTTCCTCGGGCTGGGCAGGGCTCTGTGCAGGGGTGGGTGCAGGGTGCTGCAGAGAGTCCTCCTTGGAGGGCATCTGGAGCGGAGAGAGTCAGACCATGGGCTTGAGCATGGCATTCTGCAGAGGGCCCGAAGGAGCCGAGGGTCTGCTGGCCTGGCGTGAGGAAGGTGGCCTGGTCACTCTGCTGCTGGGGCAGAACCCCATGAGCAAGCAACTTAGGGGCTGCAGGGTTTTTCTCACAGCTCCGGAGGTGGGAAGTCCAGGACCAAGGGCAGGTCCTTAGGTTCACCTTCGTAGGTGACGTTGTCCTGGCTGTGTCTTCATGGTGGGGGACAGGCAGGTTCCCTTTAATAAAGGCACCAGTCTCACCCRTGAGGCCCAGACCCTGCTGTCTCCCATGGGCCCCGCCCCCCAACACCAGCACTTGGGGCTAGGATTTCAGCATCTGGTGTTTGGGGACCCAGGTTTCCGGACCACGGCAGCTTTCTCAGGGGTGGTCAGGCCTGAATGGCTGTCCACTAGTGAGTAGGAGCAGGATTTGGGGCAGTGATTATGTGGAAAGTTCTAGGTGTCTGGAGACACCTACCACTGGGGTTTGGGAGCTGAAGCACGTAGGGGACAAAGCAGGGCACTGAGGGGCTGCAGGGCTGTGGGCATGGGGGAGAGGGCAGGGCAGGCCGTAGCTCTGGAGAGGTCACACTGATGTCTGGAGAGGGGAATGTGGGGACGGGTGTCGCAGGAGCTTCTGGGTGATGCCCACATTCGGACGGCGGATGTGCCTGCAGCCACTCACAGACCACACTCACACCAGCCTGGGTCCCTGCTGTCAGGTGTGGGCTTCACTGTCCACCTAGCCAGCCTCCCTGCCTCCCCAGCAGGAGAGGAGAGGAAGGTGAGACTCGAGCATGCAGCGTTGCCTACCGCGTCCATGGTAGGCAGGTGCACACGAAGAGCTGGAGCTCAGTGGGCCTCACTCTGGTGGCAGCAGCTGGAGTCGGCGCCAGCTGGGGCGGGGGGTGGTGGAATCGGTGCTTGTAGGTAGAAGGCAGGTGCCCCTGGGGACTCTGGAGCCGAGGCTGAGCCAGGAATCAAGGAGGGAGCCCTGGAGGCCATGAGTATGGGGCAGGGCGTTGAACAGAAGAGGTGGGTGACCTTGTGGTCAGCCTCCCTGTGGCCATAGAGTCCAAGCCCGAGGTGGTGGGTGGAGGTGCGAAGCTCGGAAACCTCAGGAGAGCCAGGCAGAGCCCGGGCCTGGCTGGGCAGCTCCAGTGGGGCCTTGTGCAGGCTAGGTCKMGTGGGGTTGTCTCCTTCAAGAAGGGAGGGTCTCGGGGCAGAAGAACCAGGCTGCTGATGAGCAGCTTCTGGGGGGACAGGTATCCCAGCTCAGGTGGGGGCAGGAAGGAGGGCTTCCTGCAGGGCCCACTGAGTCCAGGCTGACTGCGCCCACAGGGAGGCCGTTCTGAAGGGCTGCTGCTGCTGAACCTCCCGTCTCCCTGGGCGCTGCCTCCCCAACCAGTCATGCCCCATTGGCTGTCCTGCTCTCCTGTCCCTGTCCCCAAACTGCCCCAAGCTCATCCCCTTGGGATGGCATGTGCCAGACTGACCCATCCATGACACTACATGCCACCCTATCCCATCTCACCTGGGTCCCCATGTGTGACTCTGGAACCTCCCCCCCCGTGTGACTGCACACCACCCTGTCCCCTCTCACCTGGGTCCCCCGTGTGACTGCACACCACCCTGTCCC